GTTTAATTTCTAAGAGGAATCAGGTATTTTCCAGATGTGAGAATTCCCACGCAGCAAGATTGAAATTTAGAATAGAATAGAAGCTGGAAGGGACCCTGGAGTTCTTCTAGTCAGGCCCCCTGCTTGAGCAGGACACTAGGATTTAAGGAGGAAGGTGATGTGAAGTGCCAGCTGAAGGACTGAAAGCTGTGACGCCACGTTGTTGTTGAACAGAGAATTATAATAATAATAGGCATAATAATATAATAAATGAGAAATTTTCTGATAGTTCGGACAATTAACCAGTGAAACAACCTGCCTCCAGAAGCAGTGAATGCTCCAACACTGGAAGTTTTTAAGAAGAGACTGGACAGCCATTTTTCCGAAATGGTATAGGGTTTCCTGCCTGAGCAGGGGGTTGGACTAGATGACCTCCAAGGTCCCTTCCAACTTCTATTATTATTATTATTATTATTATTATTACTACTACTACTACTACTACTACTACTACTACTACTACTATTATTAATCAAGGAGAGAAGCAACCTAGAAGCCTCCTGCCCACCGTCCCACCTGCCAGAGACCCCCTGGATCTCCCCCAACCCTGCCCGGCCCCCACAGGCGTCCCTCCCCACGAGCAACATCGAGGTGATCACGCCCACCTTGGTCACACCCACTCAATCTGCCATGACCACCACAGCCACGCCCATCCAGTGGGCCATGCCCCCCTGGCACCCGGCGATAAATAAGTGGGTTTTGGGTTGCAGTTTGGGCACTCGGTCTCTAAAAGGTTCGCCATCACTGGTATAGGGTTTCCTGCCTGAGCAGAGGGTTGGACTAGTTGACCTCCAAGGACCCTTCCAACAACTACTACTACTACTACTATTACTACTACTACTTCATAATAATAATAATAATAATAATAATAATAATAATAATAAAAAGTTGGAAAGGACCTTGGAGGTCATCTAGTCCAACCCCCTGCTCAGGCAGGAAACCCTATACCATTTCAGACAAATGGCTGTCCAGTCTCTTCTTAAAAACTTCCAGTGTTGGAGCATTCACCACTTCTGGAGGCAGGTTGTTCCACTGGTTAATTGTTCTCACTGTCAGGAAATTTCTCCTTATTTCTAGATTGCTCCTCTCCTTGATTGCTTCTTGTCCTGCCTTCAGGCACTTTGGAGAATAGCTTGACTCCTCCTCCTCCTCCTCCTCCTCCTCCTCCTCCTCCTCCTCCTTCTTCTTCTTCTTCTTCTTCTCTACTACTACTACTACTACTACTACTACTACTACTATATCCTGTAAATTGTGCAGCCTGAGGGATGCCTACAATAATTCTCTAAACTATCCAGGTTTGTGTTGAGCTGCCTCCGTCTTTCTTTTCTTTTCATTGTTGTGGACTTTTTGACAGATGCAGTGGCAAAACGTGGAGCACGTCGGGGATCAGAGTCCCTACGTCACGTCGGTCATCCTGCACATTAAGCAGAACGTCCCCATCATCCGCGACAACCTGGCCTCCACCCGGAAATATTTCACCCAGTTCTGCATCAAATTTGCTAAGTGAGTTGCCTCGCTCGGGCTGCAGTCAAGGAACGGGCATTTTGGCCACAGGGAAAAGGGGAATTCCTTCTGAATACAGATAGTCCTCGGCTTACAATCAAAATGACAACGGGACTGGGGGGGGGAAAGTGACTTACGGCCAGTCCTCGCACTTACGACCAGTCCTCACACTTATGGCCATCACAGCATTGTCGCGTGTCCCACGATCAACTGAGCCCAGAATTTCTGTCACTAAGCGAGATATTGGTTAAGTGAGTTTTGCCCCGTTTTACGACCTTCCTTGTCACCATTGTTAAATGAATCGCTGCAGTCGTTCAATTGCTAACGTGGTCATTAAGTGGAATCTGGTTTCCCCCCTTGACTTTGCTTGCCAGAAGGTCAGCAAAGGCGATCCCAAATACGAGTCAGTGAATTTTGACCCCATGACCACGGGGATGCTGCGCCGGTCGTAAGTGTGAAAAAGTCCTAAGTCCCTTTTTTCAGTGCTGTGGTAACTTCGAACAGTCCTTAAATGAACTGTTGTACGTTGAGAATTACCTTTATTTACAACAATTGCAATGTGCCAGAGCAGGAGTAGGCAACCTTGGCTCTTTTGTGACTCGTGGACTTCAACTCCCAGAATTCCTGAGCCAGCCATGCTGAGGGGAAAGGGAGAGGTTTCCAAGCTGAGCCATGCTGGCTCAGGAATTCTGGGAGTTGAAGTCCACGAGTCATGAAAGGGCCATAGCTCCCCCATGCTGGCTCAGGAATTCTGGGAGTTGAAGTCCACGAGTCATGAAGGGGCCATAGCTCCCCCATGCTGGCTCAGGAATTCTGGGAGTTGAAATCCACGAGTCATGAAAGGGCCATAGTTCCCTCTTGCTGGCTCAGGAATTCTGGGAGTTGAAGTCCACCAATCATAAAAGAGCCAAGGTTGCCTACCCCTGTCCCAGAGTCACATGACCTCTATTTGTGACATTCCCAGCCAACTCCGACAAGCAAAGTCAATGGAGGAAGCTACCTTTGCTTAACAACCACAAAAATCGCTTAACAACTGCCGTGTCTCGCTTAGCAACCATGACCAAAAAAAATCATAAAATCAGTTACGGCTGATTTAACAGCCGTCCTGCTTAGCAACAGTAATTATGGTCCAGATTGCTGTTACAAGTCAAGAACTACCTGTATAGGGTAATTATTCTCGGCCACGGTTTTTAAAGTTGGATTTGTCTCCTTCTCTGTTAAAAAAGAGTCTTAGGGATCTTGCATATTCTCCCTCCTCCAGAGGCATTTTAGAAGTCAGTTTAAAAACAAGCTCTTCACTGTGTCATTCAAAACAGGTACATTTGCCGGTGCTAAATGGTGTGAATATGCTTTAATGTCTACAGCATTAATTTAGTTTAATTAATTTAATGCTCCAGCACTGGAGGTTTTTAAGAAGAGATCATCTGTCTGAAATGGTATAGGATAGGGTTTTCTGCCTGAGCAGAGGGTTGGACTAGATCAAGCTTTTCAACCAGAGGTAGGGGTACCACCTGGGGTACATTGGCACCTGGCATGTGGTACGCGACCATCCCAGAAAAGTGGTAGCGTGGGAGGGGAATGAGCTGAACCGATGGCAGCACCGCACAAGCCTGAGCGAGAGACGGCTGGAGCTGCAGGGCTGTCAGGGCTCAGTGGAAGCGCCAGGATCAGCGCCAGGCTCCAGCTGGAGCTCAGTGCTGATCCTGGCGCTTCTGCTGAGCCCTGAAGAAGTGCCCATCAGCTGGAATGTTGCCTTATCTCCAGGGTCTTGTGATTTACATTCAGATGCTTGGCAACTAATTCATATTTATGACGGTCACAGTGTCCCAGGGTCATGTGAAGTGACCAAAACCTGCTGCAACCACCCAGCAGACGGGGGGAATAAAAACCAAACACCCCCCATCCCACCCCCGCTGCCAATCAACAGAAATGCTCACAACAATGAAAACCTCAGACAGGAGGAAGAGCGCTGCTGGGTGGGCAGGCAGGTGTCTTGCTTGGCTGTGGCTTGGGGGGCACTTTTTTCAGTGCCATTGTAACTTCGAACAGTCACTAAGCGAACTGTTGTAAGTCGAGGACTACCTGTACTTTATCACTTTTTTCCTTTTTGGGGGGATCATCAAGTTTTTGACACCTTGCTAGGCGACTGGTGGTACTCGGATGTTGCCATATCCTAAAAGTGGTTCAATGGGTGAAAAGGTTGAAAAGCCCTGCCCTAGAAGACCTCCAAGGTCCCGTCCAACTCTGTCGTTCTGTTATTTGCTCAACTTTGGCCACCGTAAAATGGGTGGACTTCATCTCCCAGAATTCCCCAGCCAGCAAAGTTGAAGTCCACTCATCTTAACAGTGGCCAAGATTGAAAAACACTGGAGGAGAGAAATCTGCTTTTCCTTTAAGCCTGATGGGCCGTCTTCATTTCTTCCCTTCTTTCCCGCAGCTGTTTCATCCCCAAGTTTATTAACCACCTTTTCAAGTGCAAGCCGATCAGCATGGTGGGGGCCGAACAGGTGAGAATCCAAGGGGGGAAAGGTGTGGTTGGCAAGCAAGAGGTGGGAGGTGGGCTCAGGAGACTTACTTGATGTGAAAGCAGCTTCTTTCCCAAACTGTTTTTAGACCATCTGAACGGTTGGTTGAATACACACTAACAATCACAGCAAGATCATGTTTGTGTTTGAGGGGCCCTTGGTGCTCTCTGAGCTGGGTGGTTTTCCTGCAGAGGTTTCATGACCCAACTAGGTAGTGTCATCAGTGCTAGAAGGGAGTGAGGATTGTGGAGACGACGAGGAGTCCTGTGGGGTCCTTGATGCTCTCTGAGCTTGGTGGTTTTACTGCAGACGTTTCATGACCCAACTAGGTAACATCATCAGTGATAGAAGGGAGGGGGGTTTGCGAGGAGAAAAGAAGGAAGGGAAGCAGGAGGAGGAGAAGGAGGAGGACTGTGGGGTCCTTGGTGCTCTCTGAGCTGCGTAGTTTCCTTGCAGACGTTTCATGACCCAACTAGGTAACATCATCAGTGCTAGAAGGGAGTGGGGTTTGATGAGAGGAGGTGGAGGAAGAGGAGGACGACTGTGGGGTCTTTGGTGTTCTCTGAGCTTGGTGGTTTTCTTGCAGATGTTTCATTACCAAAGTAAGTAACATCATCAGTGCTTCAGCGTACATTATAGATAGATACTGTTGATGGATAGATGTATGATAGTGGCAGGCAGGCAGGCAGGCAGACAGACAGACAGACAGACAGACAGATAAGAGAGAGCGAGAAAGATGTGGGGTCCTTGATGCTCTCTGAGCTTGGTTGGGTTTTTTTTGCAGACATTTTGTGACCCAGCTAGATAACATCATCAGTGCTGGTAGGGAGTGGGGTTTGGTCTCTGTTTATATATTCGTGGCTAGTATACAAAATGTCGTTTCATCCTCCCTCTTATTATCTGCTTCAGCTACTGCTGGACACTCACTCCCTGAAAATGGTCCTGCTTGATTTGCCATCCATCGGCTCGCAGGTGGTGAGGAAGGCTCCCGCCAGCTACACGAAGATCGTGGTCAAGGGCATGACGCGGGCCGAGATGATCCTCAAGGTACACCTTGTGTTGCCTCCAAAGAATTTCTGAGGAAGGAAGGAAGGAAGGAAGGAAGGAAGGAAGGAAGGAAGGAAGGAAGGAAGGAAGGAAGGAAGGAAGGAAGGAAGGAAGGAAGGAAGGGACTGACTACCTGGCTGAAGCCACCTTGTAGGACAGGTTTTATTGGTTGCTTGGTTGCCCATATTGTCTTTACAAATAACTCAAGGCAGCAAACATGCCTAAAGCAGCACTAGAACTCACTGTCTCCTGGTGATTGGCCCAAAGTCACCCAGTCCGCTTTTGTGCCTAAGGCAGCACTAGAACTCACCGTCTCCTGGAGATTGGCCCAAAATAACCCAGCCAGCTTTCATGCCTAAGTCGAGACTAGAACTTACCGTCTCCTGGTGATTGGGCCAAATTTACCCAGCCAGCTTTCTTGCCTAAGGTGGGACTAGAACTCAGCGTCTCCTGGTGATTGTCCCAAAGTCACCCAGCCGGCTTTCGTGCCTAAATTGGGACTAGAACTCACCGTCTCCTGGCGCTTGGGCCAAATTTACCCAGCCAGCTTTTGTGCCTAAGGAGGGACTAGAACTCACCGTCTCCCGGTGATTGGGCCAAATTCACCCAGTCAGCTTTCATGCCTAAGATTAGACTAGAACTCACCGTCTCCTGGTGATTGGGCCAAATTCACCCAGCCAGCTTTCATGCCTAAGGCGGGACTAGAACTCACCGTCTCCTGGTGATTGGCCCAAAGTAACCCAGCCAGCTTTTGTTCCCAAAGTGGGACTAGAACTCACCGTCTCCTGGTGATTGGCCCAAAGTCACCCAGCCAGCTTTTGTGCCTAAGGCAGGTCTAGAACTCACCGTCTCCTGGAGATTGGCCCAAAGTCACCCAGCCAGCTTTTGTGCCTAAGGCGGGACTAGAACTCACCGTCTCCTGGTGATTGGCCCAAAGTCACCCAGCCAGCTTTTGTGCCTAAGGCGGGACTAGAACTCACCGTCTCCTGGTGATTGGCCCAAAGTCACCCAGCCAGCTTTTGTGCCTAAGGCGGGACTAGAACTCGCCGTCTCCTGGTGATTGTTCCAAAGTCACCCAGCCGGCTTTCATCCTAAGCCAGGACTAGAACTCGCCGTCTCCCCGTTTCTAGCCTGGTGCTTTAACCCAACTGGCTCCCTTCCCCTTACTCTCCTCCCCCAGTTGTGGGCTTGTTGAGCTGTCCCGCACTTTTAAAGGCAACCGGCTGCAGAATCCTTCACCAAATTCCTTTCCTCCCTTCCGGAGTGGAGCCTTCCAGCTTTTCCCAGGATGGATTTTCCTTCGGCATTTCCAATTAGATCCCAAGCAAGGCTGGTGACAGCTGCTTCGTGCCTGGGTGGGGACAGGGGAGGTTGCAGCAAATCCCCCCCCCGCTTGCATTCCCCCCCCCACTCTTTTCCAGAGCGGCTTCTCACGTTCTGGATTCGGCCGCTGGGAGGCCAAAACGTAGAAGCTTTTCTTGAAAAACCCGAAAGAGGCTGGAATTGGATGGGGAAAATAATAATAATAATAATAATAATAATAATAATAATAATAATAATAATAATAATAATAATAATAATAATAATAATAATAATAATATCATCATTTGCCTGTAAGCCAGAGCGGGTGGGATCATAAAATAGAGAAAGCCATAGAAAATGATAAAATTAAACTGCTCTGGGACTTCAGAATTCAAACAGACAAGCACCTGCAACATAACACCCCAGACTTAACAATTGTCGATAAGAAAGACAAAAAAGTCTGGATAGTGGACGTGGCAGTGCCTGGAGACAGCAGAATAGACGAGAAAGAACTGGAGAAGATCACAAAATACAAAGATCTACAGATAGAAATAGAAAGACTGTGGCAAAAGCAAGCAAGGGTAGTACCAATAGTAATAGGCGCCTTGGGTGCAATCCCAAAACAACTGGAGCACCACTTGAACACCATCATCGGCATTGACAAATTCGCTATTAGTCAATTGCAAAAGGCGGCCTTACTAGGAACTGCTTCCATCCTGCGACGATATCTGTGATACCATCAAACATCCACATCTGCCTATCCCAGGTTCTTGGGAAGGACTCGATAGGTAGACAAAATGCCAAATCCAGTCTGAACATCTGGCTGACTGTGCGATGATCCATAATAATAATAATAATAATAATAATAATAATAATAATAATAGTTGGAAGGGACCTTGGAGGTCATCTAGTCCAACCCCCTGCTCAGGCAGGAACCCTACACCATTTCGGACAAGTGGCTGTCCAGTCTCTTCTTAAAAACTTCCAGTGTTGGAGCATTCACGGCTTCTGGAGGCAGGTTGTTCCACTGGTTAATTGTTCTAACTGTCAGGAAGTTTCTCCTTAGTTCTAGGTTGCTTCTCTCCTTGGTCAGTTTCCACCCGTTGCTTCTTGTCCTGCCTTCAGGCGCTTTGGAGAAGAGCTTGACTCCCTCTTCTTTGGGGCAACCCCTGAGATATTGGAACGCTGCTATCATGTCTCCCCTCGTCCTTCTCTTCATTAAACTAGACATCCCCAATTCCAGCAGCCTTTCCTTATACGTTTTAGCCTCCAGTCCCCTAATCATCTTTGTTGCTCTTCTCTGTACTATTTCTAGAGTCTCAGCATCTTTTTTACGTCGTGGTGACCAAAACATTGCAAGGGCTTCCTCACTGCTTCCTCACGTGGTTAGAATTAAGCCCCTTAAAAGTCATACTGGTGGTCCTTGACTTACAACAGCTTATTTAAAGACCGTTCAAAATTATAACGGCGCTGAAAAAAAGTGAATTAGGACCATTTTTCACCCTTATGACCGTCGCAGCGCCCCCATCATCAAAAGTCAGACGCTGGGCAACTGATTCATATTTATGACGGTCGCAGTGTTCCAGGTCACGTGATCCCCTTTTGCCACCTTCTGACAAACAAAATCCATTGGGGGAAGCCAGAGTCACTTAACGACTGTGTGACTAACTTAAGCACTGCAGTGATTCACTTAACAACGGTGGCAAGAAAAGTCGTAAAATGGGGCAAAACTCACCCAACAAACTTCTCACTTATACTGCTTCACAGCGCCTTGCACCCCTCTCTAAGCGGTTTACAGAGTCAGCATCTTGCCCCCCAACAATCTGGGTCCTCATTTTACCGACCTCGGAAGGACGGAAGGCTGAGGCAACCTTGAGGCGGTCAGGATCGAACTCCCGGCAGTGGGCAGAGTTAGCCTGCAATGTTGCATTCTGGTCACTGCACCAACCCGGCCCTTATAATCAGCTGATTTTCTGTCCTTGCAGGTTGTGATGGCCCCCCATGAGCCCGCTGTGGTCTTTGTGGACAACTACATCAAACTCCTCTCCGACTGCACCACGGACACATTCCAGAAGATTCTGGAGATGAAGGTGAGCGGGGCACCAGGGCACGTGGGCAGCGAGAAAAGCCAGAGTTATTCCACTTGTTCTGGAGAGTAGCAAAAAATAAAATAAAATTGGGAAGATGGGTGTTGAAGGACAGGTTATCCAGGACCAATTTGGTTCCACCCCTAGCACATCTGGATAAAAAGAAGACAAGTCAATCTGCCCAAACTTGCCCTAATACACCTCATTTTACAAACATTTTGATTCCGCGAAACTCAACTTTCCTGACATCCCTTTTAAGTATGAGTGGCTTTGAAGGACCACAGCTGTCAAATTTCCCAGGTAGGTTGCCATCTTGAGGTATCCGGAGGTGCGCCTTCCAGATGTTCTGATTTGTGCCTTCCAGATGTTATGGGTTGAGTCTTCCAGATGTTCTGATTTATGTCTTCCAGGTATTATGGGTTGAGTCTTCCAGATGTTCTGATTTGTGTTTTCCAGATACTATGGGTTGAGTCTTCCAGATGTTCTGGAGATGCACCTTCCAAACGCTATGGGCAGTCTTCCAGATGTTCTGGAGGCCCATCTTCCAAATATTCTGTCTTCCAGACGCGATGGGTTCTGTCTTGCAGGTGTTCTGGAGACCAGTCTTGAAGTTCTGGGGCATGTCATTCAGACATCCGGGAGATATGTCTTCCAGATGTTCTGGGGCATGTCTCCCAGATGTTCTGGGGCATGTCTTCTAGATGGTCCATAGGCACGTCTTCCACACGTTCTGGGTGTGTTTTCCACTTATGCTGGAGGCATGTCTTCCAGATGTTACGGGTTGAGTCTCCCAGATGTTCTGGAAGCGCACCTTCCAAATGCTATGGGCAGTCTTCCAGATGTTCTGGAGGCCCATCTTCCAAATGTTCTGTCTTCTAGATGCGAGGGGTTGTGTCTTGCAGGTGTTCTGGAGACCAGTCTTGAAGTTCTGGGGCGTGTCATTCAGACATACTGGAGATATATCTCCCAGATGTTCTGGGACATGTCTCCCAGATGTTCTGAGGCATGTCTTCTAGAGATGTTCCATAGGCACGTCTTCCACATGTTCTGGGTGTGTTTTCCAGTTGCGTGGAGGCATGTCTTCCAGATATATCTTCTAGATGTTCTGAGGGGCATGTTTTCTAGGCTCTGGGACAGGCCTTCCAGATGTTCTCCAGGGACACAACCCATCCTTATCGTCCCCTTGTCCGCTTTCTTTCCGTAGGGCCTTCTCCACCCAGCACAAAACAATAAACCACAGCCTTGAAGGCCCTCTTAGCTCAAGCTTTGAGGGCAAAGATGGCTGCTCTGCCTACGGTGACCACCTCCTCTTCCTCCTTCTGCCCCCCCCACCCTCCCGTGTCTCCACAGGGTCTCAAGCGAAGCGAGCAAAGCAGCATGTTGGACTTATTCCGTCAGAGGCTCCCGGCGCTTCCCTCGGGCGCGGAAACGGGCGGCTGCGTCTCCCTGACAGCCCCCACGCCCGAGCAGGAATCTTCCCGCATCCGCAAGCTGGAAAAACTGATCAAGAAGAGACTCTAGCTGGTACCCAACCATCTTGTTCTCCAGCTTCTGAAGGCATCGTGGTCCAAGCTTACGGCTGGTTGCAGGTTATGTGCCTACCCCGTTGAGGGCCTTCCAGGTAGCCAAAACCAGTCGTCTAGCTGTCTCCTGTAGCCTGTCCTGCAGGTCTCCCCCCCAATGAATTCAAGCATGCCCCCAAATCGTAGGAAAATGTTGACATGTTCCAAGGTTTTATCTCAGAACTGAGATCCCGGAAATTTTTGTTTTTAAGGGGTAGCCAGTAGGACAGCTAACCTGGGCCTGTGAAGGTTGGAATCTCCTTTTGTGACGTTCTGAATGCAGACTTTTTTTTTTCCCAGGAGGATCGGGGTCCATGTCTTCATAGACCCCCACGTCTTCCTCTTTCAATGGGTGCTTTTTTTTTCTTCTTCCTCCGAGCTGTTTTCCAGCGTTAACTCGGTGATGGTTTTATACCTGCTTCATCACATAAAGCAGTGTTTCTCAACCTCAGCACCTTTGAACTGTGTGGATTTCGATTCCCAGAATTCCCCAGCCAGCAAAGCTGGCTGGGGAATTCTGGGAGTTGAAATCCACACAACTTAAAAGTGGCCATGGTCAGAAAAAAAATTGACCTTGGCAGTCTTTCCCGGTCAATTTCGGAAAGCGTCAATTCCAGAAGGAATTTCAGTCAATTTCAGAAACGGCTACAAGTCCTTTAGATGGGGAGAAATAAACTTCGAAATTCATGTTTCATTCACTCGATTAAACCCGCTTGATCAATTCGTAATTCCCTCTGCTCTCATCTCCCCACCTTTGGTGGGGCAATCCTTAACACACACACACACACACACACACACACACGCACACACACACACCTTCTTCTGCGATCGGGGACCAGAGTCTAAACGCCTTGTCCCTTTTCACCAGCCAACTTGACCCAAGCCAAGATCCCCGGCGAGATTCCTCCGGATCTCACCTCCCCTCGGATTCGGTCCAAACAAACTTCTTTCTCCAGACAAATTTTAATTAGCTGCTGGTTTTCATCAAGATGAAACATTCCGGATTTATTTTATTATTTTTTTAAAAAAAACACCACACGGGAGGCCGCTGTGTTTTCCAAAGTCAGCACACACAACGTGCCCAGCCCTCGTTCTTTGTGCGTCGTTGTGCTTTTTTAAAACGGTGCCTGCTGATTTTTTTTTTTTTTGAAAAAAATATATTGTTTTTGCTTCCTCTGCCCTTCACTTGTCTGAAGTGGACCAAGCCTTTTTTTTTTTTGAACTTCCTGGATTCCTGGATCTTTTTTTTTTTTTAATTAAAGATCCTTTTTCCTTCCTTGGATGCTGAGAACGTCTGGATCTGGGAATGGCCCCGGGGGTGTTGAAAGCAACTGTCGGTTTCTAGTTTTCCCTTTTTTTTTGCTTTCCAGAGCTAAAAGTTTTTTTGGGAAGCTTGGAGCCCTGCGCGCTCCACATTTTTGGCCAGGAGATCCCTCCGTGCGAGGGAACCCCACCAAATCTGGGCTGCTTCGCAATGCATCGGTTAAAAACAGGGAAGCATCGGAGGGGTTGGGGAGAGATTGCCCCTTCCCCAAAATTCCTGCGGTTGCCGGAGATTGGGTGGGTTTTTTTTTTTTAAAGGCAAGGGGGGGTCTTCTTCGGCGGTGGATCCCGTTTTGACCTGGGTTGCAAATTTGGGGGTTTTGAGGGAGGCCTGCAGGCTGCTAGTTGCTGACCCCATGGCTGCCCTCCCCAAAGCGAAGGGCCGTTCGAGTCCCCAGGAAGTGGGGCAGGGTGCCCGCCCGGCCCTTGGCCCCAGTTGGTTGCGATCCAGGTTGAGCAATGTTTGCCCTGGCTTGGCTTGTGAAAGGAAAGTCTAATCAAGGAAGGTGTAACCTGGACCTCCCTGCTTTTATGGACTTCCTGAGAGCAGGACAAAGGGACCTGCGGGGAGATCCCCGGGCCTGGGATCTCGCCCCNCCCCTCCTTCCTTCCTTCCTTTGTTCCTTTCTTTCTTTCTCTTCTCCCCCTATTTTTCTCTTTCTTTCCTTCCTTCCATCCCTCCCCTTCCTTCCTTCCTTTCTTTCTTTTCTTTGTTCCTTCCTTTCTTTTCTTTCTTTCTCTTCTCTCCCTATTTTTCTCTTTCTTTCCTTCCTTCCATCCCTCCCCTTCCTTCCTTCCTTTCTTTCTTTCTCTCTCTTCTCTCCCTATTTTTCCTTCCTTCTTTCCCCTTCTTCCTTCCTTCCTTTCCTTCCTTCTCTTCTCTCTTTCTTCTCCCTATTTTTCCTTCTTTCCTTCCTTCCCCTTCTTCCTTCCTTCCTTCCTTCCTTCCTTTCTCTCTCTCTTTCTTCTCCCTATTTTCCTTCCTTCCTTTCCCTTCTTCCTTCCTTCCTTTCTCTCTTTTTCTCTCCCTATTTTTCCTTCTTTTCTTCCTTCCATCTCTCCTCTTTCTTGCTTGCTTGCTTTCTTTTCTTTCTTTCTCTCTCTCTGTTTCTTCTCTCCCTATTTTTCCTTTTTTCCTTCCTTCCTTCCCTCCCTTCTTTCCTTCCTTCCTTTGTTTCTTTCTTTCCCTATTTGTCCTTCCTTCCTTCTTTCCTTCCTTCCCATTGATTTTAAAACTGTTGACTTAATTTATCAGACCCAAATAATTCTGGCTAATAATTAAGACTCCTCAAAGTTGTACATTTCCTGTTAATAAAGTGGATTCTCCAGTCTCTTGATGAGTTTGGTTTTACTTTCTTGGGTTTTTCCATTAAAGATAAAAGGTTGGGAAACACTGGATTAGACTGAGCTCAGCTGCCATTTTGTTCCTCTTCTGCTCTTTTGTTATTTCTTCATCTTCTCTTTTGCTCCCTTCCTTTTTTATTCTTTTCCTGGTCTCTCCCAGGCGAGACTGGCAGCTTTATCAATCCACATGATCGATGAAAATTAAGAAACATGGTTACAGAGAGTCCTCAATTTATGACCATAATTAATAAAAAAGATGCTGAGACTCTAGAAAGAGTACAGAGAAGAGCAACAAAGATGATTAGGGGGCTGGAGGCTAAAACATATAAATAACAGCTGCTGGAATTGGGTATCTCTAGTTTAATGAAGAGAAGGACGAGGGGGGACATGATAGCAGTCTTCCAGTATCTCAGGGGCTGCCCCAAAGAAGAGGGAGTCAAGCTATTCCCCAAAGCGCCTGAAGGCAGGAGAAGAAGCAACGGATGGAAACTAACCAAGGAGAGAAGCAACCTAGAACTAAGGAGAAACTTCCTGACAGTCAGAACAATTAACCAGTGGAACTCCTTGCCTCCAGAAGTTGTGAATGCTTCAACACTGGAAGTTTTTAAGAAGAAACTGGACAGCCATTTGTCCGAAATGGTATAGGGTTTCCTGCCTGAGCAGGGGGTTGGACTAGAAGACCTCCAAGGTCCCTTCCAACTCTGTTATTGTCTTATCCAGAAAGAAGAGGGAGTCAAGCTCTTCTCCAAAGCGCCTGAAGGCAGGACAAGAAGCAACGGGTGGAAACTAACCAAGGAGAGAAGCAACCTAGAACTAAGGAGAAACTTCCTGACAGTCAGAACAATTAACCAGTGGAACAACCTGCTTCAACACTGGAAGTTTTTAAGAAGAGACTGGACAGCCATTTGTCCAAAATGGGATAGGGTTTCCTGCCTGAGCAGGGGGTTGGACTAGATGACCTTCAAGGTCCCTTCCAACTTTACTATTATTATTATTATTATTATTATTATTATTATTATTATTATTATTATTATTATTATTATTATTATTATTATTATTATTATTATTAACTTCAAGCAGTCACTAAGTGACCAGTTGTAAGTCAAGGACTATCTGAACTTCCTGCTGGAAGATGTTGGACAAAAAAACCAGAAAAATGGGTCCTGGCAAACTTGCCACCAACAATGTGCAGCTGAGCCCGCAGGTCGATTTCCTCGGAGTAAATTCTGCAAATGCTGTAACACAGGGGTGTCAAACTCAATTTCATTGAGGGCCACATCAGCATTGCGGTTGCCCTTGGGGGTGTGTGGCCAGGGTGGGTGCGACCTACTGGGTGGGCGTGGATGGAGTGGGTGTGGCCTATAGGGTGGGCATGGCCAGCTCTACATCGTTGGCGTCAAGGGTGCCTGTGGGGGCCTGGGCAGGAGTGGGACAGATCTGAGGGTCTCTGGCAGAAGGGGGGGCACCGGGGCAAGCGCCAAGGCATGGTCCACTGGAGGAGCCTCACCGTTCCTCTCAAACCATGCGCGACGCCATGCGGTCTCAGCAGGCAGCAGGGCACTCTCCTCACAGCACTGAGAGGCTGAACCAGGCGGCGCGAATCCAAAAAGAAGTGCGATGCCGCCCAACTCCCAGCCTGCCCGGTTTCGGTAGGCAGCGGGGTGCTCTCCTCACAGCGCCGAGAGGTTGAGCCGGGCGGTGCGAAGCTCGCCAGCTTTGCGCCTTGCTGCCTGCTGAAACTGGGCAGGCTGGGGGGCTAGGCAGCATCGCACTTCTCATCAGTTTCGCGCCACCCGGCTCAGCTCTTGGCGCTGTGAGGAGAGCGCCTCCACACACACCCCCGGTGCCTGCCGAAACGCCTCACCCGGAGCTCATCAAGACGGATATGTGAAGTAGGCGAGGGCCAACACAGTGCTGGGCTGCATTAACAGAGGGATAGAATCAAGATCACGTGAAGTATTAATACCACTTTACAAGGCCTTGGTAAGGCCACACTTGGAATACGGCATCCAGTTTTAGTCACCACGATGTAAAAAGGATGTTGAGACTCTAGAAAGAGTGCAGAGAAGAGCAACAAAGATGATTAGGGGACTGGAGGCTAAAACGTATAAGGAACGGTTGCTGGAATTGGGTCTGTCTAGTTTAATGAAGAGAAGGACGAGGGGGGACATGATAGCAGTCTTCCAATATCTCAGGGGCTGCCCCAAAGAAGAGGGAGTCAATCTGTTCTCCAAAGCGCCTGAAGGCAGGACAAGAAGCAACGGGTGGAAACTGATCAAGGAGAGAAGCAAT